TATCGGTGTCGGCCAGGATCAGTACGATGGCCTGGTCGGCACCTCATAAAAACATCAGCGTCGGCCAGGGTCAGTACGATGACCTGGTCGGCACCCCGTGGAAACAACGCATCGGCTGAGGACCAACACGATGATCTGATCCAAGGGGCGAGCAAGGGCCGAGGTCGAACACGACCTCGGCACCGAAACCAAAAACAAGCCCGAAAATGAGGTTCAGCCTCAGCGGGAAATGTGCCGGGCTCAACCGTGAGCCCGGTAACGAGCACAGCGTCCAAGCCGACCTCAAAACCCAAACAATTAAGAACAGTCATCAAATAACCACGACATAATCAAAAAAGCATAAATATATTCAAAAAACTAGCACGGCATAATCATAACACTTGAAAAAGTTTACAAATATCCCACAAAAAAAAGTAACACAAGAAATTCAGACCACACTCGGTCAACTCAACGACACGCAGGCCGGCAAACAAAAAACAATTACGGATCCGACTCCGAGGGCCGCCCCCCAGGCACGAGTTCGGCCTCCTTGTCCACACCGGAAGTCCCGGCCTCGTCCACCCTTTTCGCCGCCTCGGCCTCGGCCGCCGCCTTCGCCGCCTCGGCCTCGGCCGCCGCCTTCGCCGCTTCTTCAGCTTCCTCCATCTCGCCGACCACCGTTAGGACGGCACCCCGGCGAGGCTGGAACTCGGGATCAGGATCAGCAGCGGGCAAGAAAGGCTCGTACTCCGGCAGCAGCTCCCCCGGCGCAAGCCGCCAAGTCTCCGAACATGGGATGGGACCGAGCCCTTGGAAACCCACAATCACATCATGGGCCCATCCCTTGAGCCGGCGAACCACGGTGGCCTCGTCCACATCGACCTCGCAGACGAGCCCCTCGCACTCGACCTCGAGCCTTGCCGCCTTCTCCAGGAGGATCGTGCGGAAGTCTTCAAGGGAAAGCACCCCGGCATCGAGTCGTTGGAACAACCAATGGAGGTTGAACACGGCCGACCTGTCCATGCAGTCCCTCATATCCTCGAAATACTGCACGGTGACTTCCGCGAACGTCAGAGGCGGGGGCAAGGCGATGGGCTCGCCGTCAATCTGCTTGGCAGCCTCCTTCAGAAGACAAGCCTGGGCAGACATCTTATTGCCGTAGTCGACGAGCTGAGACCTCGTCTCCTCGTGCTTCCGAGTGAGCTCGGCGATCTCGGAATTATGAAGCTCCGC